GCGTGCAGCACATTGGTAAGAGGGACCCTGCGATACATACGTTATTATTGATTTAATCCATCTCCTTCACCAAGCCTTCCATCCCTCAGGTTTTGCAAATTGGTGCCAAACTTGTCTGGGAGCATAGAAGCACTAACATCGTAACAATGGTAAGTCATCGCAAGTCACTTTTCAGCACGTTCAAAGAAAACGTAGTGACGGTTAGGGTAAACTGTCATATTCTTGAAAAATCTAACGACTGGGAAACAACTGCGTTGCAAAACAGTGGTTTGGGTAGGATTTACGTAGATCCGTTAATTAGAAACCCCACCGATGTTCGTTTGAACAAAACATCGAAATAGGGTTTTAGAGAACTGAAGAGTCGAATCTCTTCGAATCGTGGGGAAAGTTTATATTTCTAGAGGTTTTCACCGTATCAATGAACTCCCATTCAAAAAGTTTAAATCTCACAGCTCCATTCCTGTGGACATAAGTTGGATAAAAAACTATAAGACGAACTTTGTTTTAGGGAGTTTTTAACTTTAAATACTAGCAAACCATATCCTTCGGACTTATGTAGCCATTTCAATAACCTATAATCAGAAGGAAGTCGTATGTCGACTACCTTGGACCAGGTTTTACAAACATGTCAACATTATTTAACTATGTAATCAGCACAAGGCCTGTTATTATGGGTTGCTCCGAGGTGATTCTTCAAGCTGTATTTTCATATGAAAAGATGAATTGCATTTTACTGCAGTGTTTGTCAAGGCGATCGGATAAGCGGAATATATATCATCGCTGACACATAGTACTGCTCCGTGAAGAAGGCCAAACACTAGCCAGTAGCTTAGTCAATCATTCAAATTCAGAATAATTTACACATTATCTGAACATCTAGGCTCTGAACATTCTGATCTGAACAAAAGGGCTTATTGGTTCCACCGTATTCGGATGGAACCTGCAAGATAACCGCAGTAGTACTGCACAGTATACTAATGTCGACGATAAATACGTTAATTAAGGATAAAAACCACTGAGAACGTCGGCACATCAACCTTGACAGCACGGCGGCTAATCACCAGCTGGTTTTTCTACGCCTAGACTACAATAATTGACCTTCACTTTCTTATTCCGATCTCTTCTGTGCAGTGGGCCGAACACTCCGAATACACAATTGCCATATCGTAGACGAATTCTTCGATTAAAACATTTAAAGAGAGTAATAAAAGCGGTATTCAAAGCGCAGAAAAGGCTAGCCGCCTACTTCCCATTCCATGAATGATTTGTTTCTAGAAGCACCTTTGATACAAGAATACCTCATGTGAAGAAGAGTTAAGGACCTGCAGAGACGTGCTTAAGTGTTCGGTACACTTTTGCTCGCCATTTTGCTTCTCTATATGGCAGCGTTTACAAGTTTTATTCGTGCATTTTTTCAAAAAGTGCGCTTGAAGGTAGAAAGTAAATAGTTTAAAAATCGAGTGTCCCTTGACCTCGGCATAAATAAATGTCCTCGCTCGGAAATTCTTCTATAATAATTGACTTTGGATGCATGCTAGTTCTAAAGACGACAAGCACGATTGTTCTCGAGAGCATTCGTGGGATGTTGAAGAGATTAATGACTGGCGGTGGGCGCTGAAAGGCCCATGGGATTCCTAGATCGAGCGGGCAACTACGTCTCTAACAAAGTAAACTAGTCGTGAACGATGTGTGTGGAGAAAGATCTCACAAAGAGCAATAAAAGCACTAGATGAAACATTGCGCGGAAGCGTTAACGGAACGACGACGGACTCACACCGATCGCTGGAATCACTCGGCGGCGTCCAGACGAACAACCACTGAACCGATAACCCGATAAGTTTATCCGATTTGAGAAATCTAAAACCGAAAGCGAACTGCGGTAATTAAATTTAAATAACGAATTTTTCATAAAGAGCTTCATTTTAGAGCTAATGGTTAAAGGGAGGACAATCTAGACATTTGCATATCCTCCCCTCTCTTTTTTCCAATGCTCATGCGAGGTTCCATTTTACTTTCTAAAAATATATCCTTCATTTTCTCACTGTTTTCTAAAAAAATTTTGCCAGTATTCTCTTTTCATTTTTATTTAATAAGTATGGTTCGATTTTTTTCTTTTGTCTGAGTTTGAATCCAATTATCTCTCGTTACTCTGCCATAAGAAGTCATCAGCCACTTCCATGGGGCTGCAGAAAATGATCAGCAACAAGGTTTTCCTTCATGGAATATTTCTTTCGATATCTGAGGGGAAATCTGCAGCAAATGACACTAGACTGCGGAAATGATAAGCCCACTTTCCATACCCTCAGTGACTGGCTTATCTCTTGTTTAAAACCGAACAACTTCACCACATCTTCATTGATGCCTATGTTCTGCTTCGTTGTTTGAGAACTGGGGTTAATGATAGTCCAAGTTCCTCTTAAGCAAGTTTCCTTAGTCACTTAAGTACGTATGGAGGTAGGATCTTCGTTGTAATAACAACAAGATTTTCTTTATACAAAAGGAATTGGTTCTTAACCACTTGAAACGAAGGCGAAGTAAAACTTAGCTTAATAGTGAGCATCTAAATGTAAACACTCCGTTCATCGAAGAATACCTAGCGTTTTAAAAAGTAATGAAGTTCTCTTCGATCTTTACGCCTGACAAAATTTCATCAGATCTTTGGAATTGCTAAGAGGTGATAATAATTTTGAAATTATGGGACAAATCCGAAGTATTTCGACCATAGAGGGATGCTAGGTTTGATAGAATTTAAAAGTAAAGCAGCTTAGATAGATTTCCTTTCCGGTTTATGCTCCAAATGTAATGAGAATTGGAAACCACTGGAAAAATAACTGCGTTCTGAAAGGAAAGGACAACCACGTAACACCAGCGAACCAAGTTTTCTGACGATTGGAAAGGCCACTCCGTATGGTAGTCAGGAAGAAGACAAAAAGCACCCATTGCATCGAAGACTCCAGTAACGACGGAATGGAGCTCAAAAGGACATCAACATTGGCAGAAGGTGATTTAGAGATTTGGAATTCTCCCGAGAGCACTGGGTAAGAAAAAAGTGACAGAAAACGATGAAAAGCGTCACGCTTCCCATAAATGCAAGCTTTTGAGAGCAAACGTGCCATAAAAACAATCTTCTCGATATGATAAATGACCGAATTTTTCTTAGGCCATTCAGTAATCGACGACCTTCGTTTATTCAAGTTTATATGAATGCAAGATTGCTCCCGACACTTATGAAAATCCCGGTTGAGGTTGTTGCAGTAAAGACGATGATAGAAAGATAGGAAAAATCTGGGAAAAACTAACAATGAGTAAAACGATGTAGGAAGGAAACCAAGTGTGGGAATTACATATTGAGCGAGCTAAATGTGCTCATTGATTCGGATAATCCCGTTGCACTTCCATTCCACTCGCGGCCCTCAAAGAAACCATTACAGCAAATAACACTTGCAGAAGTTTTCTCGCTGCATAACTTACGAGTACGGAAGTGGGAGGAAGAACGTCCTTATGTGGAGTGAAGATAGGAGCATATGAAAGTGAATAGGTTCGAAACATCAAAAGTCCACTGCAAATGTAGCCTGCTTTGTCGTTAGAGTTCTAGACTTAACTACCAACAAGCACTTTATCAAATGGATACTCATGTAAAGAAATCATAAGGTACAATATGGGATTTCAAAGTGTTGAATGTTCATAAAAGTGAGTCCTTAGAATGTACAGTGAACGATTTTTTCACTATGTTCAGAACGTGCTCGAAACAATTGCGACTAGTCAGATTTAGCCCTACTGAAGAAAGGTGATGAATAACTGAGAAACATCAGGAAAAACTGGCACACTACCACCAACTGTTCGTCAACTGGCAAAAGTAACGATGACACCATAGGCATACGAATGATGAAAACCCTTCTGATGGAATAATTTCATCTCCTCCATGCTAAAACCGGTTGTTTAATGTCCTTCAAGAGATTTTAACACACGAAATAAATCTGCTTCGTATTTCAAAATGTGAAAAGTTCAGAGTGGAATAGGACATCCGAGTCTAGCAGACAGGTCAACTCAATTCAATTCGAATCCAGCATGTTTCGGCAGAATTCCTCCGCCCAGAAAAAAGTTATTCGGAAACATCTACCTAAATAATTTCTGCAGCAAAAGTTGCTTATAATTCACTCTCTCGTTTTTAAATTGACAAAATAAAACAAATAGAATTTCTTCTTATTTTTTCCAGAGTCGGAAGTACTCTTAAGTGAGTCTGTGGAATACTCTTCATTTATGAAAGACGAAGCTTCTTCAGAAGAAAAACAAACTGTGCGATTTTAATTTAGTTCAAAATACTAGCAGATTATTCCTTCAGTGCTCCATTGCAAAGGTGATTTGAGATATTGGAGGATAATGAGTGGAATCAAAGGGATGATTACGCGCAAACAGATTGAATACTGAGGAGAGAAAGTGCCTCGCAAATGCATGTGAAGAGGGAAGGGATACTCCGCCCTACCCGCTGACCCGAACAGTCTGCGGATTCTGGGAATGCAGCCCTGTGCGCAGACAGCAACGGAGTTCCCAACAGTTCGTCTGTGATTCATTCTCAGTTCCCCACCATTTCGAACCCTTCAAAAAACCGACAACAAAATGCCCGAAGTTATCGGCAAGTAACTTTCAATTGGCGAAGAGAAGAGCAAAGCAAGGTCCTCGCTTGGTGGAGTGGATAACACGTGAGCTCCCAGAAAGTTTGAAGCCCAACTGAGGTTCCGAGGTTTGTTTATGTCCCAGCATCATTATGATTGCATTTCACATAATACTATGCCATAAAAAAAGAATATGCAGTAAAGTGAAGTTAAAACACTATTTTTCATCACTGTAAACATGGGAAATTCAAATGATGTAGAGCACTAAAAAGTTATGGTTACAACCTATTTATTTAGTCAGTGGGTTCGATATTCGATCGCCAAAGACTGGCACTTGATAGATAATGACGAAAAAAGAATAAAGCCAAATAAGCCAAATATTTCGAATTTCGGTGTGTGGATCGATTGTATTCAGAATGGAATATCATGACACATCTTTATACAATGAGTTATCAGAAGTCACGAACCAGATGCTCGACCCAGTCCGCGCTCCGTCTCAACTCATTCACTGTTCGACGTTATGAGCTATCGAAAGGCATCTGTGATCATGCGAATGGTTGAATCTTCACTCAGTAAACGGAAATTCCGGCGGTCACTTATCGAATACCTGAACAAGTACGCGTACGTTAACGCGAAAGGCTCACATTTATGGGAAATCGTCGAAAAGCAAGCCGTTCTTCACCACGGGATTTCCCTTCAAAATGTGGCAAACGCCTACATCAAACAGCCCGGATGTCCAATGGTTTTTGTAACGTTCTCTGGCAAGGAACTCACCGTACACAATCAGACTCGCTATTTCTTCTACCATGAAATGCGAGACGATACCAAATGGACGATTCCCATACACTATCGAACCGATAGTCAGCCCAAATCACGATTGGAGTGGGTGAGAGCTGCTCATAACAAAGTAAGCTGACCGTTGATGAAGAGCTTCAAGTGGATGATAGCAAACACCGACAGTCTAAGCTACGTTAGAGTGCTGTATGACCCGAAAAAGCATGCAGAACTTGTGAAGCAGCTACGCACCGAACACATGGTGATTTCGGTTATCGAACGAGCAATGATCTTCACGGATGCGTTCGAATGCGCAAAATCGTTAAAACTTAACGTTGAAGCGTATCTCAACATTCTACTATACGCCTCATAAAAGAAAGAATAAAGCTTTCGCATTAATCAATTCCAAAAGATGCGCGATGCATTCGACTTCATCAATCAAGCGTCGCTCGATGTGATTTATTGCATATTTTCTCTATATTAACTTGCTGTGACCTGCCCTTGTATCAAAGCGGTATTTTTTATCCTCTAAAACAAGTCTGGTAGCAAATTGCTGACTCTGGAGGAATAGAACGATTGGTGAACCCGAGGGTCGAGATCGAACCAATGACCACATGCGTATTGCAAGGCACTTCCAAACAATGCATTGTACGTGCCCTGTTAATAGATGGGACATAGGAAATAACCTTAAGAGAACCGTTTTTAGGAAATTCTCAATTAGAAAGAAAGCGAAGTAGACCGAAACGTCTTACTCACCTTTAATCCTGTTAAGGATATAGATATGTACTGCTGCAAAAGCACAGAGTTGCCGACTAACGCAAAAGCAGAGAGAAAAAGCAGTGAGTGTCGCTTTATTCTTTTGGTGGTCAACAAATTGTAAACGAAAGCATTTAGAAAGCTTTAAGTCCCATACATGTTCGTAGAAAAGTATAGGCCCGAAAGTTGTTCTAAGCATGATGTCTATGGACTGCAAGGCATACACTTACTTGGACACTTGGATAGCCCGTTTTCACTGGCTATCTGGCGATCCATTATAACCTCAGTTTTTCGAAGTTTAGTCATTGTGGTTTTCTGACTCCCCAGGTCAGCCAGGACAAAGTCTGTCCCAGGTCGTCATCACTGCAGGCAGCAGCTGCCCTTGTGGATCAGAGAGCAATTTGCCATCAAGCGACCAGTTTGACACTAGGAGGGTGGTAGATCCCAGTATTGGTTTCCTCTTAGGTGGTTTTAGGCCTAATGGAAACATCGGACTTCTTCTCAGTTTGGAAGATCCAGCTGCGAGATGACTTCCCTCAGTACATCAGAACCCGATACCTAGAAACACCTCCCTGTCATATGAGGAGGTAAACCGTTAAGAGGGCAAAGCATATAGAAACGCAATCCGTCCATTGATATGATTGGCAAAAAGTAAAAAGCGAAAAAAAAACCATAGAAACAGCTCCAGATGTGTTCTAAACTTGCTGCCTAGTTTTGGAAACCAATGCCTAACAACAGCACATCATTTACTGTGTCAAAACTGCGTTAAACTGCTTATAATATTCAGCAATAATGTTACTTCTAACAATCAGGATGGATATCAGCAAATTCAAGTTCTAAGTTAAAAGACCAGCTTTCTCAGAAAGTAATGTCAACTAGAACATGAAGAACTCGATTAGTTGCTTCCTCTCTTTAACTTCAAGCGTTTATTCTTCGTGTTCTTGTTGAGCAAACGCAAGGTGTTATTTTATTCTTTATTCACGAACGAGCTGACGTTTCGGTGGATTTCGCCTTCCTCAGAGACTGGAAAGGTCAAGCTAACAGCAATCTATTCGGCCAAACACCTCCATAACCAAACAGAGAAAACGCTAAGCAAAGATTTCAACTATATTGAACACCGAATAGCTTCTTTGCACACTCACCGCTTTCTATGAATATCCCACTGAGCATGTCGCGTGGAGAACAACCGCACGGAATTCACATGGAAGCGCAAAGCGCCCCTCCCATCAGAATAACAGGCTTATATATTGCCCAATATCACGCCCGATAATGAGCCATTCCTCCCTGCGGTTCATTTTCGGATTCGTGGAATTAATACAGAACGCCTCGAGAGTTTTGCGCGCTTGTGTTCTCGATTCCAGTTCGAGGATCGTGACACGTACTTCAAAGTCCTCCCCGTTATATTTCCGGGTTCTAGGCACGCCTAGTGGGGTATTTGGTTCACGTTTGCCAGCTCCTCACCCTGCTCTCTTCTCGTGCACACCTTGGTCGCTGTTTGAAACATGTCTCTTACAAGCGCCCTTTTCGTGTGAGAGGAGTGAGAGGAGAGGTAATGTGCCAAGATGTTTTTACTACTTACTACTGGCTTTCGGTACCATTTCGTAATGTAGCCATTTTCTTACAGGTTAATTTGGACTTTCAGAAATGGAAGGCAGTTTTCTTTCGGTTTCTCTCGGGTGAACTTGATATATTCTGACTGTTCGTTCAACAGCTCGAAACATTTGCCCATTTTCTTTTGTGTTGAGCAAAAGACAAAAGACAACATCTATATATCTACAGTAGAGTAATGGCCTGAGATCGGTCACTGGTGCTTCCACCTTAGACATAAACGCAATAGCAAGACTTGGCGCCAGTCGTTCTCCCATTGCCGTTCATCCCTCTTATTCGAGCGTAATACTTTCCGGACCATCTGAAGACTAAGCAACTCAAGCATTCTTTTAAGAGTGCCATCAACTGCTCTATCATGAAGCCATACATGTTTATTTCTCCTTCGTGTTGTATAAGGAGTTCGAATATGGCTTACATTGTGGAGTAATTCGACACGTTTGTATAGAGGGCGGTAACGTCGAAGCACTCCATCACGTACGCGCTGCTGGGCTGCGCAGTACGTAGACGATCCAGAGACATCTGGGTATTCGTAAGATGGGCTGGAATATGTTTCAACATCTGGGTAAATATTACGGTTAAAAACCACGTTATGCTATCCATTGGCACGTCTACATAGAAAAAGCATCTTGAAGATGCTTCACTTTATCGCCCATGGTCAAAATATCATTTTGAAATAAGGCACCAGGTCACATGTGATAGTGATGCATTTGCCTTTCCGGTCCATCTTTGTATTTTTCAAATTTATCCAAAACGCTTCAAAAGTCTTGGGCCTTGACGTTTTCCATTCCTGCGCTAGGATCCGCACAGTCGCTTCAAAATCATTGCCATTGTGCTCTTGTGCTCTATGTGTACCTAGGCGAGTGCTTTGACGAATTTTAACTTTCTTATCTAGGTGTTCTTCTATGCGTACACGAAGCGATCTACCCGTTTCCCCAATACATTCTTCACCGCATGCCTTATACGAGATCAAGTATATTGAACCAGAACTCATGCAATCACCGTCTCTCCCGTTAGGACAGATCATACAGTTTTCTGAGCTGCGCTAACGACCATAGAGGAGGTGGCGAACTATTTGACGCCATAGGGTACTGGGTGTGAGACCAATAATTGCTACATAATTTTTAAGACCACTTTTTCTTAAGCACCTCTTAACGGCGTAACTTATTTTATTTGATATTAAGCGTAACTTAAAAGGGATCTTACTTACGTCCGAAACATTATTTTAGGGGACTACCCTTCGTTTTTGTCTGACCAGAGTGACTTCTATTTCGTAGCCATTGGAAATGGCTATTTTTCGTGCCAAACTTGGCGATTCCTTCCTTTTCTCTTCTGCGCACATATTTTTAGCCGCTCGGTACGTGTTTTTCGTGAGTGCTTCTTTCATGTGTGAAGGATGAGGGAGAGATAGTGAGCTAGTATATTTTTACTGCTTGGCTTACGACGCCTTTATATTGTATAGCCACTTTCTCAGAGCTTAATTTGAATGTTTAAGAATGGAAGTTGCTTCTCGGTTGCTCTTTACCTTATGAATTTTATATACCCAGAGTGTCAATTTAACAATTCAAAGCACTCATCCACCTGTTCTTGCGTGAAACAGATGATGAAGCAGTCGTCCATGTATCGACAGTAGGATAAAGGTCGAGAACTGGAGCTTCCACCTTAGACATAAAAGCGACGGAAAGGCTTGGTGCTAAACGCTGTCCCATGGCCAACTCTCTAATTCGTGAAAAATATTTTCCAGACCACCTAAAGATTCAACGACTAAGATACTGTTTTAGGAGAGCCATTATTTCGTGCTCTACGAAAAGCTCGAGAATGGCTTGCATTGCGGAGTCATTCGACATGTTGGTATAAAGTGAAGTAACATCGAATGACTCCATTACAAGCGTGCTGTTTGGTTGCGCGCACCGTAGGTAGTGTTGGGTAAATGGGTTGGAATGAACTTCAGCCAGGATAAGGCTTAGGAACCACGATATTCTATCCGTTGGCTCACCTATACAACTGACGATTGGTCTCACTTCAAATGATGACCGATCGCTGGACGAAAGGTCATCAGGAGAACTAGGCTTTTGCGTCTTAATAAGCAATTATAGGACAGCACATGTTGGATGGTCGCCCTTAAGCCAAGAAATAACTGAAGGCTCGAAACCCGCTGCCTTTGTCGTATTGGCCCACTCCATATTTAACCTTCGGCATTGATTTCTATGCTCCTTTTCAGAGGATGATCTCTAGAGAGAAACATCGTTGAGAGGCAGGCCTGTTCTAAAGCCCAACTGACTAGGAATGACTACAAATTCTCCACCTTTATCACTAATAGAATGTCGCATAAAGTTTAAATTCAAGAACTCTCTAACCTGGCGGATACTGTCATTTCTTTGCCACGTTGTTTGCTGGTGTAAGATGTTGGAGCTCAATTTTTTTGGTTGGTAGCGATTAAGTATGCGTCAAGCGCGCAAAACTCTCGAGGCGTTCTGGATTAATTCCAGGAATCTGAAAATGAACCGCAGGGAGGAATGCCTCATTACCACGCGTGATGTTGGGCAGTATACAAGCCCCACGTGAACTCTGTGCGGTTGGTTTCCACGTGACAAATTTAGTGGAAGACTCATAGAAAGCGGTGAATGTGCAGAGACTCTGTGCTCAACGTGATTGAAATATTGGTTTAAAGTTTCTTTGTTTGGTTATGAAGGTGTCTGGCCAAATAGAGTGCTATCAACCTGACCTTTCCATTCATGAATAAAGAATAAAATAACACCTCGCGTTTGCTCAACAAGTATA